AAAGTAATTTTAAGGGAAAAGCGACCAGGTGCCGCTGAGCAACTGATATCGATTTATTTTGTGCTCCCCCCGTTTTTTTGTTGTTGACTTGATTTGGTTCCTACGAGAGTGCGTTGTACGGTGGTGTGTGCGGTGTTGTTGTTGTTTTTTCGTTTCTTCCCCAAACTAATACCTGCCATGATCCTCCGCGCGGAGGAGCCTGGTGGCTGCAGGGCCCTAAAGACCGCCACTTCGTCGGTTCACAGCGGGAGCCCAGTTATCATCGCCTGTACTTCATGCACTTATTTGGGTATTTGTGTGTGTGTGTGCCGCATATGCGGAACTAAAGTTGCGATCTCCCATTATGGGACCTTCTTGTGGGATATATACCTGGGTTCCACGCTGGTGCCCATTATATGTGGCGGTTGACCGCTGCTGTGTCGACTCCGCGTTGCACATGTAGGGAAGCACCATATAACTTTTGTTTACGTCGGTTCCCCACCCACTCATTTCTAACCGTGCGCAGGCGCTGCCGTGGTGTGGGAGAGCAACAGCAAGCAGCGATCTTTCTTGAGCTGTGCGGGCGGGCACGGACTCGGCAGGCCATTGTTTGGCTGCTGTGGTGCGAGGGGGTGATGGTGATTGTGTTGGGCTTGGTCGAGGGCTGGTGCTATTTTACTGTTATATGCTTCTTTCTTTTGTTTTTTTTCTTGTCTGAAGGTTTGTCTAAAAAAGAGGGCGCTGGTGCTGAAGGCATGTGGCCGTGTTTTGTTTCACTGAACGGACGCCCACGGAGAGGCCCACTTTGACGTTGTTTGTTTGTTTGTTTTTGACACGGGGACCTGCACAGCGGTTGTGTGGTTGTGCCCACGGTTGCCCTCGTGGGGCAACAGGACAGGTTCGTTGCGCCCAGTTTTTGGGTGTATGCCCTGCTTCCTGTGCTGTGAGATGCCCAGGGGCGGCAAAGCCAGCTGGTGTTGGGGTGCTCGGTGCGTGGGGTTACACACGCACCCGCGCGGGGCCGGCGGTTGATGGGTGTGAGCTTTTTTTTCCCGCGGGGCAAAATAGTCACTTGGGCCGCTCCCATGGTTGTGGTGCCTGCGCGTCTGCCGCACTTTGGATGGTGTGCGTGAGGGGCTGGGGGCGCGCTTTGTTTCGTCCGAGGGCTTGCCAGCGACGAGGGAGACTCCAAGGCCCGCATGGGGGTTCCACAGGGCGAGGTGCGGCACAAATTGCGCGACTGCTGGCGAGGGGTCTGTTGGGGGCAGCCGCTGCGCGGTGTGGTGTGTATTGGGCTGCGCTCTGTGTACAACGTGCTGGAAGATGACCCTTTTTTCCCCGGCTTTTTTTTTTGACTTGGAGGGTCTTTTCTATTGCTTCATGCCGTGGGTGGAGGGCGCGTGTCTTCGAGAGGGAACGACGGGGTCGTGAGGAAAGGAGTTTCCGGCGATGCGTGTCGCCGTGTGGGTTGTGACAGGCGTGCTCCCTGCTGGGATTCTCACAGTGTCGCGGCGGGGCAGAGGCAGTGTTTTTGTGGCTACGCTCTTAACGGCGGCGGCTTTTTGGCGATGAGAGGAGGAGGTGCTGGCGGCGAGGTCATTTTGGTGCTGGGGAAATTCCCGAAGGGCCCTTCCTCCCCCTTTTTTGTGTTGCTTGTTTGCAGACAAGTTTCACTGTGACTGGGCAGAACAGGTTGAATCGTGCGGGTGCGACGGGCCGTACGAGGGTCTGATGGTGCGTTGCTGTGCACCTTGTTTCTCTATTCCGCCTACGCCTGACGCCCTTTGCGACGGGGCGTCTGAGACGTTTGGCTGCGGAGTGTGGTTGGTTGCCCCCATGTTGCTTGCGGGGGTCAACTGTGGTGTGTGAGCGTGAGTGGTTGAGTCGCAGCGGAAGGGTTTGCCTTCTGCTGTGGGGGACCCGATTTCCGCTGCGGTGGTGTTGTGCGCGGTGAGGTGGAGGCGTGCGGCCTGCGCGTGGGCGCAACACTTCACGCAGCAGAAATGGCGACGACGCGCTGCCGACAGTGTTGGTTGTCTTGTTTTTTGTCGTGTGCGCCTCTGGGCACGCGGGTGGCTACGGGCGCGTCTTGGCCTTGGCTGTTTTTGGTGCGTGTGTGTGTGTGTGTGTGTGCTCGTCGGTGGGCCAGACGCGATCTCTTTTTTTTTGGCGT